AGGAATGCACTATTTACATGTAATAAAAATCCGAAATGCGTGACATGGCCTATGTGTATTTTTAGTGATTAATTAATGTGACTGACGCAACTTAAATATATTGAATATTTAAATGGAGCTTTTCAGTTGCAGATTGAACTAACTTCTTGTTTGCAGATTGATCAAGTATTTTTGTTGCTTTAAAATTAGCATATCAATATCATTAGGAGATCCATAATAGTATAAACACTCAGAGTAGTGAAGGGATTTTCAAAGAAAAGAAGGTCAAAGTTGAAGTTGCTATAGAAATACAAAGCAATTCATGCTTTCATATATCCTGCCTTTAAAATTACTTGTACTAGCATTTGAAATTAATATTTGGATCAGCCACACTGGGGAAAGAATTACGCTCTGCTATGTTCTTGGGGAAAGAGGGGCAAAGAAAGAAAGTGGGACAAAATAAAAAATGATGCAAGAACTGAGGTTAACAAAAGCTGTGGTGGCAGCTGAATTGCAGAAGCTTTGGAAAAGCTTTGGCCGCTCCATGAACAGATAAGTAAAGCAACTGTTAGAAGCTTGGGGACAGATTTTTTTTGCAGAAGAGTTGGCATTGATTTTTCAGTCTAGGGAGTGTTAGGGTTGGCAGGTTGGGTGCATAACCAGAGCATGAGTGGAAGATCAATGTTAGGGAAAGCTGCAGCTTCAGCTACTACAAGAATGAGGACTAACTCCATCTCAGATGTTTAAAACTTCCATTTGTTGGCTTCAGAGGCTCTTTGCTAAACAAGAGGCATCCTTACTCTATAATCATATACTTCACCATCATGAAAAAGGGAGAGTTTAAATTTAATTCCGTTCCCAGTAGGATTAATATATTTTTCTCCCTACTTCTCTCTTGCTCTTACAACTCAGTTCTCTCAGTTTATTTCTCGGTTATTTCTCAGCTACTTTCCCTCAGGAGGGAGAAATGTCTTCCTTTACATAGCCTTTAATTTGCTGGACCTCTTGATGTTACACCAACACACCACTGCCCATTCCAATAGTGGGCCAGGCAGGTATCATTGTCTACTCCATGCTCTTCTTTGTGCTCTTTATAAGTAACCTAGAAAACTGGCTTTAATATCAAGATTATTTCCTTGCAAAGCCAAATTGTCAAACTGAGCTTCGGCAGTGAGCGTTGAGGGGTTTTGGTCTGTTCCACCTGCAAACCGCCAAGCTGGGTATGAGAGCAGGATGTGCTCTACATGGTCCACATGGTCTGTCGGCTGCCAGGAACCTCTGACTGGATTTGAAGATATGAAATGTGCTTTATGAGTATTTTTTGTGTTGGCAGCGTTTTCTGGATGTGCAAAATTAAGCGTCCCAGACTGTTCAGCACAAGACTTATCTAAACCAAGATGTAGAAACTACTTTAGGGAATATATTATGAAAGGTGCGTAACCGCATTCAGATTTCCTGTGCTGTCTGTTGCTTGTCTTTTCTTTTAAAGATAAAACAATCAAGTTATGGAAAATTACTGAAAGAGATAAGAGACCAGAGGGGTACAACTTAAAGGATGAAGAAGGAAAACTTAAAGATCTTTCTACAGTAACATCACTGCAGGTAAGCTGCTGTCTTTGTCCAAAATCCAGTTGTTTCTGTACGAAGAAGGTAGTCACAGGTGCTAACTCAGTAAATTATTTGAATACATACCTAATGCTAACTGTATATATATGATTATCGTCATTGAAGTTTTAACTGACCAATAATGGTCTTCAACCTGTCACATGTTTTCAAGTCACAAATGCTTTATGATACAGTGACCAATACAAATACATTTAGAGAGTTTATGTCGATTTTATTCTTCCTGATAAAATTCTGTCAAAGTAACTTAATGTCCTGTCACACAGGATTCTTTAGCCTGGTGTACTGGAAGCATTCAATTTGTAATTAGAGTTAAACAGTGTTCTTGCCTTATTGAAAGCAACTGAGCTAAAGACAGTACACCACATTTCAGACTCATCTTTATTTCAGTGGTATAAAATAATTCTCTCCGATCTGAAGAATGGGATTTGCAGTAGTGTGTGCTCCAGTGAATGTCATGCTCTGCATTGCTGAACAGATGCGTATATGATAATGTAATAGATTTTTGCTCTCAGACTCTAATGGCTGAATTCACTCCAGGTGTTTTGGTGAAGGACGTGGCTAAAGGTTAGAACTGGAAGGCTATGTTGTATAAATACTGGTATTTACTTTTAAAGACAGACGACCAACTCCTACCTCCAAAACAACACAATATTGTCTGTCATGAAAAAAGCCTCCGAAGTGTAAAGATTACTGCATTAATGGAATATTCATCTATTTTTTATGATTAGGCAAACAAAACCATTCCAGATTGCTTACAGTCTGAGAATTCAAAGGCTGAGTGGCCCATTGTTTTGTTTCTTTAGTGACAAGCTGTACTCAAAGCTTTAACTTCTCTGTGTTGCTCTTTAAACTGTCTTGTGCATTGATGTATGATAGGTTGTTTCTGATGCATGTTCAGCAACATTGAGTAGTCCCAATCATGGAGCACAGCCTTACAGTCTTCAATGCTTTACCAGTAGGGAATAAATTGGCAGTGTCTAGTTATTGAAGAGTGACACTGTAGTGACACACAGGGAAATAACGAGGGCACAATGATGAGTGGTAGTCTGTGGTTTTGGCTTTTCAGGAGTATGTGTGTATGTATGGTATGTCAGTACACGTTGGTTTTGTTTTCTAAAACTCCTTTTATTATGTTTTGCTGAGATGATAACCTTTTCATGTCTTGACTTTTTTGTTTGAGAGAGACATCAAGTAGCAAAAGAAATATTGTAAGTGCTTTACAACTGACAGCAAACTCTTTAGCAAAAGCAAAGTACTAGGACTTCACTGCTTGTCGGAGCCAGAGCCTCCTGCCTATGTGTGACAGTAGCTCCTGCTGTGGGACTGACCTGTTCTGTGACAGCTGCCAGTGCCTCCCTTCCCACAGTTCAGGCTTTCCATTGCCCTGCCTGTCTCTCCTGTCTCTCCTTGCCCTCTTGGCAGGGATGGCCTTGCCCAGCAATTAATCCATGGGGAAATTAAGCTTGCACACACTGTCAGGAAGTTTTATAATGTCACAGTCTTTGAATGCTTGTTCTCCATTGAAACTCTCATCCTCTTAGCAAAAAATTACTTAGAATCTTACTCTCTTTCTGGTTTGTGTTTTGGGTTTTTTTGACAGGTGCCTGTATTGAAACCTATGGATTTGATGGTAGAAGTCACTCCCCGGAGAATCTTTGCTAATGGTCACACCTATCATGTCAACTCCATATCCGTCAACAGTGACTGTGAGACATACATGTCAGCGGATGATCTCAGGATTAACCTCTGGCATTTAGCAATCACAGATAGGAGCTTCAGTATCCTTTATTGTGGTGCCTTACTTGGTGTTGATAGAACTAGTGGGGCTTAAGAGAGCTGGTTTAAAATATTTTAATGCATTTTATTTTAAAATGTACCTTTAAGTATCAGAATTTGTAACAGTAGTAGTAGTAACAGAAGTTACTTGTAGTAAGTATTTGTAACAGAAAATGCTCAGATACCGTAAGAGACAGCTAAGAGATTGCAAAAATCGGGAAATTTTATGTGAAAAACAACAGTCTTGGAGTTGGTTAATGACAAATAAATAGGAAACTGCTGCCAGCTGAATGGTAGCTATCCACCTGACTAGAATACTCAAAACTGTTATTTCCTGAAGACATTTCACGCTGAGCTAGTCCACATTTTGCTGAAAGGTCAGTTCTTACCCTGACCGTGCCCCCTGTTCTCCATCATCCTGCTTCCCAGGACCCTAGTGTCTGACATATGCACAGTTTGGGGATAAGGCTCAGCTGCTTCATGTGAGTTGTTTTCCTCTGGTGATTTCTTTTAAAGTATTTCAAAAGGAATTAGAAGAATATTTCTCTACAGATTTGTACAAGAAACTGTTAGGTGTCAAAGTGAAGTTGTCCTACTAAGGCAAATTCCTGGAAGAAAGCACCAATGTGATGGGGTATTCTCCCTGTCTCTGGTGATAGTTTGTATTTCTTCCTTCATAGGTCAGATCATCTGTGGAGCTTAACCCATGGTTTGTTAATGTCACAGGAAACATCTTCATTAATTCAATTAACTCTTAATGTACTTTAAAAACTGTCTTTGCAGGATCAAGTGACAGGTGCCTTTACCCTGGAGATTGTAGGGAATATCCCCTCAATTTGTTTCCAAACATATTCTTTTTCTGTCTTTTCTGATCTAGATTAAGCAAGCTAAATGGTGCCCTCTTTAATAAAACTGAATACGTAGGGCCGATTTATATATGGCAGCTATGTCTGCCTTTGATATCCAAACAACTGTCCTTCCATTCTTTAGTAAGAGAGAACAGAGTGTGAAAATTGCTTGCCACCAGCAGGGTGGTTCCTCACAATATCCTTCTCATGGTAGCTTCCCCCTCCAGTCCAGTTTTGTCCTGGACACTTTTATATGTGACTATTGTGTGTTCTCCTGTACTGCATATCCTCATCTCCTAAAGCAGAGCAGTCTCTATGTCTGTGTATGATAACCAGATCACATTCCAGAATACTTATGCGAGATAAGTCTTTGCTTTTGGCAGTCCCTTTTATTGTGTTAAAAGCTGTCTTATAAACTATGGATTGCCAAGAGAAATGACAACTTTTAGAAGAACAAATACTTATTATAGTTCATGAGGACAATGTTTTTATTAAATCATTTGCTATGCTAACAGTTTACTGACAGAAATATCAGCCCCAAAAGAATTTATAAACCCCAAATATGTGTAAATCCTTGAAAAGAAAATACTTACTCTGGGAGTACTGATACAATCGGATCAAAAGTACTGTGAATATGGTAGTGTAAAATAATTCTTTTCATTTATTCAGAGCTTTTTATCCTCACATCTTTTATGTATGTTGATCAATTTATCCTTACAAAGGATTAAAAAGCTGGTAGATAGATGAATTTGTCTGCTATTTTGTGAATGAGAAAATTGAGGCAGAGAATTTAAAGAAATTGCTTATGAAAACTGTAAATTTCATAGCCCTGATTAACAAAATTTCATTTGCCCTTTATATGAAAACACTTGTATCCAGACTTCAGGAGCACTTGGCCTCCAATGATGTTTCAAATTCTGGCAAGATACTTGGAGAGAGCTGAAAAACAAACTTAGTCTTATGATTGTAACTACTACCGTGTGTCTTGATGGAACAGCATGGACAGCAAAATTATTTGAGATTGAATAACTGTTTAGGATGTGATTGCTTCTACTCCTGTATGTTCAAGAGCTATATTTGGTGAAAGCTGCATGAACTCTGTTTCATGCATTAGCATAAGCCTGTCTTTGAATATTTACTGATGAAAAGTGTTTTAGAGTTTGTGATTGAGTCATTGATTTAAAACATGATACAATTTACGGTAGCATGCTCAGTTTCTGACTGTGTTCTAAGAGTGTTGATGAGGGGGAAATTAAGAGTGTGTTTCTGATAAAACTTTTCCTGTATCTGTGTCTTTGGGACACTTAATGTGGATGAATTGAGATAACTGGATTTCTGTCATGGGTTGGGATACAGATGTTATGGCTGCTTCTAGATTCACACGAATGAACATCTGTGAGGATTGTGACGAGAGAGTCCAGGCAGTGATAGGAGAGAACATTAGGTAAAGGAATGATCAGTGCTAGGGGCAAACTGTTCCTGCTACACTGGTCATGGTGACAGCAGATGGATTTTGTGGCTTGATATCAGTATGTATTCATGAGAGTAGACTGAGTTAAATGAGCTGTATCCACTTCTGTTTCAGACAATATTAGCTGTGTCTGTACTCAGTTGTCCAAACCAGATCATCAGGCAGATTACTTTTACTTAACTCTGAGATAAACATAAAAGTTGAGATAGGTGTTCCAAAAAAAGGTGAGATAGTTACAGAATATTGCTCAGATTGGGAAATTAACTGGGTGAACACTGGAATAGGATATGAGTAAGTTAAACTTGCATCAGTCTTTCCACAGGTATCTTCCTGTCCATATAGACCCCTCTAAGTCCTTGTAAAGTTGCAGAGGTGCTTTTTTTAAACTAGAGTTCAATATCTGTCCTGTAAAGAAACCACAAACTCAGTTACATCAAACTCTTCTGGTAGAAACATTGAGTGTGCCTGCTGCATTAGAACAAGACATATTAAGATGAAAAAATTCTGCCAACAGTTCAAATTATAAATGAATGTTGCTGGCCTTGGTGCCTTCTGCACTTAGTGGAACAGACAGGAGGAGGCTCAGGCAGTTTTGAAAATGCTTGCTTCACATCTTTTTACTAGAAGCAAAATGTAAACGAAGCTACTTGCTGTTTTACATGCAAGGCTTGATTCCTTGAAATATTTGTTTAAAACAGTAAATAGAAAACATTTTGGTTTGAAGTGGCATTTGTTAATAAGGGATCTGGCAGCGATGTGTATTTGTCTTTCTGCTTTCCCTCAGCAGCAGCACTGCTATGTATAATGAATTGCAATCTATTTACCCAAGAGGCTGGTTGTGACAATGGCACAAACAGCAAATCCAGTGGTAGAGGTTCTGGATGTTCCGCTCGTGTTTGAACATCTTTACACATTACATGGGAAACACTGGAGAACGAATGGATTAGCAGCAGTGTGCTAGGGTGTTTTTCAAGTAAAGTTCTTTGTCTTGTAGAATTTTATTTGAGAATAGGTCAGTTATAACCATTATTTTAACAGTTTCACACATCACTTAGAATTGTTCATTTCTTTAAAAATGAAAAGACAAAGCAATGCAGATCTTAAGTTAATTATCTTTTTGTCTTTTTTGGAAAATATTTTAAATCAGCTTTGTAGACTTTGACCAGAATATTTGCCTTAGGTAAAGCCTTAGGCAAATAAAGTAAAAGTAGTGGTTTTCTGGTTTGCTTCTGTATTAACATAAACACTAACTGGGATTAAAAGCAGACAAGTGAGTTTTATGCTATAGCTGTGTAAATTTTCATGAGAAGTATGCAAGACTTCTGTACATTGCTTCCCACTTGCAAGCAGATTTGCTCAGTGTCATATGGGCAAGAGGAGGTAAGGGAGAAGAGGAGGTGAGAGAAGAGGAAGGGGGAAGATCAGCTGGTAAATAATTGCACATACAAGGCTTTTCTTCGCTAAAAGGTTTAATGTGTTTGGTTGTGTTACAGAGAGCGAGAGTCAGAGTCCTTAATTATAGATGATATTCTTCACTGGAAAAGAAGTGAGGTAAAGGTTGCTGTATTTGTTAATGTTTGGTCTGACATGGCTTAGCAGTGCTGCCCATAGCTTAAGCCTTTAGATAAGTCATCTTGGGTGCAGTGAATGGGAAAGCAGGACTGCTGGAAGCATACTGATAAGGGTTACTTCACGTCTGCAGCAATCTTTGGACTATCTAGCTGTACTAAATATTCTTTATGAGAGTGTATTTGGATTGCTCACAGAACTATGTAGCTCATAGCACTTGAACTCCCTTCATTTCCTGGTAGCACACTATTTCACTCTAGAGGCTGTCATGGCATTGCTATGGAAACAACATCCCTGTTTCCAGCATGTACTCATCTTGAGTCTCATCTTGACTAAAATACTCATTTCTCAGTCAGATCAATATAGTCCAGGGTTATCCTCTTTTAATAAAAAATTCCTTCTTCTGTGTCCCAGAAGGGTTAAGCTAATTAGCAAGTCACCATAGGGCCTCCTTATAGTCTAATGTATTCCAGTATTTGAAGCATATCATGGGTAGTCAGATCGTTAGGCACCTAAATTAATTTACTTAAGAAGTAAACAATAACAAAAAAGAAGAGAAATAAAAAAACCAAAATAACTTGGTACATTGATGAAGACCATGTTTGTGGCAGCCCATTGAGCACCTGAATAACACAGAGCGTATTCAGTGCTGTGGGAGCAACCCCCAGGCTGGGGAAGATAGCAAGACTTACAAAATTGCTGTTACCTGCCTCAGTGCTAAGCATTGAATGCTAAACTGAAAGCAAATGTGCTTTATTCTCTTGGCATTTGTGGAGCTGCAAACTGGCAAGTTTAAGCCCTTGAGTGAGATGAGGCTGTTTCTATAAAAACTCCTCAGCCGGGATGACTGAGTCAGGCTGTGTGCACAAGGATGCATCTTCTGTGGTCTCGAAAAAAAAGCCTTTACTGTATGAGAGCCTGCTGCCATCCCAACCCACGGCACTGTTTTCCCCAAGCATACACTTTCTGTTTGGGGAGTTGGCAAACATAATTTCTCTTCTTTTGAGAGCTCTGTATTATATTTTGGCACTTCCTACTCTGTCAAGAAAGATTCTGCCTTTCTGTATCATGTATTTAAAAGGTCTGTATTATACCATCGAGTCACATTCTAGCTGAGTTGCCACTAGCAACATTTGAGTAGCTTTTCCTCAAATTTGTGGTGTTCTT